GGGAAACAGCCAACATGTGAGAGACAACATAATCCAAGCCACATCACATCATCCAAGGAGGCCCTCCCAATATACAAACCCAAGGTCTGGGGGAAAAACAGGTTTTTGAAGATTGCTTATAGGTGGGCAATTGGGGACCATCCAAATCAGGAGAGGGGGGAGATACTCCAAAGGGCAGATGCTAAACCTTCAATTTGCTAAACATGGATTAACAAAAGGCTGTTGCTGTGTTCACATAACATGCTGTGTCCGAACAAATAAAATATATTGTGAATTAATGTGAAGTCCTGGCAGTGACATCAGATCCTGAATCCAGAATTACAAAACATAGTTTCTGAATTCACAGGGCCCTAACAAAGTATATTATGGTTTAATGTGATGCTCGGCTTCACCTAACACGCTGATGCAATGTGGGGGAACGCAGAAGACCACTGTATTTCGAGGAGTGAGGTGACCTATTTTTTTTTCATTTCTCCTTCCTATTAAGAAGAGTACAGAAGTTTTAGAGTTCACTTTGAGTCATAATAATGTTTAGCTGACTTGTTTTTCACTCTGGCCTGCGAGGCGTGGGAGGGAGGAATCTTCACACAGTTGTAGAGGAGGACTTTGAGACTCCTTATGTTAACACTGGCTTATCTACAGGTCCCAGGCTCTGGGTTCACGTGATGAGCAGATACACTATCTAGCCAAGGTCAGGCTCTGCAGTCTTGGTACCATGGAAATAAAGTCATGAGGTTTTAAGGCCAGACCTTGATAAAAACATTCAGGTTGCCCCGGAGCTTGGAGCGTGGACACGAGCTGGCACCAGGAGCTGTGTGATTTGGGCCGTTTTGGGCTGTCTCCGCTGTTATGAAACTGGGGCTCCCAGCAGCCAGGGAGATTTTGTATGCTATGTTTTTATATGTTATATGCTTTTACGTTGGTGTTTCTGTTTAAATCGGTCTGCTCGAGTTAACCCTAAAGCTTAAAATCTCCCTACCTACTGGCGTGCGTTGTCTCTGGCTCTGAAAGAACCAACTTCAAGGCATCTGATCACCACCTTGATAACTGACAAAATAGGGATAGTTGGCTTTCCCACAACTCTCTGAACTGCAAACTAGCAAGCCCCCTTTTTGCATAATCTAGGGTGTGGTGCAAAGCTAGAGTTAACATGTATGGGCTGCAATACTCCACATGACACTAGATGGCAGCAAAGAGCTTGTCTTTCTGCTGTGCTCCCCTTGCTGTCCTGATGCTTGCAGCTGAGACCTGGTTGCCCTAACAAACTGACTTTAGAACTGCAGTTCACAGGCAACTTTTGAGCTGCTGGGACTGCACTCAAGACTTTCATGGCTACATCAGCCCTGCATTGTACATCTCTATTTATTGCCTGGCCTACCTTGTAGGACAATTGCAGGAGACACATGTCCATGGCCTAGAGGGAATTTTGTTCAATGACATCCTTATAGGTTTGGTGACAGTTTTGTTTTTTGTTTTTTTCCCAGTTAGTGGGAGGCAAGGATAACTGTAAATCAATAAATCCAGCCAGTGCGAACAACTTCAACAATAAGTGAAAATAAGGATGGTGGAGGGAAACACTGAGCCCAGAAATAAATGTATGGGGTGTTCAGAACCTGTCCCTATTTTCAGTTGTGGAGTAGTAGGGATGCTTGGTAGGAGGGGCTTCTGTTATCACAAAAAATAAAAAATAAAAACTGAGAAACTGAAATTACATTATCTGCTGTTAGGACAAAGTGCTTCCCTTACCAGTGTTGCCCCACCCAGTAGAGAACCATCCCTCAGACATATTTATTGCCACATTTCCCCACACCACACACATCATATTCTAAGAGGGGAACAGAGTAACCATCTGTTGGAACCAAACCTCCAGACAACGAAGTTTCAGTCCATAGCAAAGCAGTGGAGTCTGGATTGAAAGTGCAACCTAGGAAAGAGGAAGATCAGCAGGACTTTGGGAGAATCTGAAAAGAGGAACCTGCAAGGCAGGTATTTATAGAACTACAAAGAAGGGAAGGAGAGGAGACCAGATCTGCAATATGAGCAACCCAGAGAATGAGAAGACAGCTCATTTGAATCAAGCCCCTTACCCTGGTCCGATGAACTCATCTGCTAGTCCACAACCTCCAATGGGCTACGGGGCACCTCCCTCTATGCCAAACCAATACCAACCTTACGCCGGACCTCCCGGAGTCATACCAGTCCAGCCTCAACAGACCATCATCATCTCAAATGTCCAGCCCGCCAATGTACCAGATTATCTGGGCTACTCCATCTTCACCCTCCTTTGCTGCTGCCTCCCCTTGGGCATCGCTGCCTTGATTTTCTCCATAAAGGTGAGCTTCAGTGAGAGAGAAGTAACCATTGGTAACTTTGTTGAGATGATGATGAATGTAGTCAATGCCGGATTAGTCTTGGTCAGAGGTAAAGTAGCCAGCACATGTTGCATTGAAGTGTGAAGCAGAGCAGCACTGTACAAGGAGAGGGAGTAAAGGGGAAGAGAGCAAGAAAAAGAGAAAGGGAATAAATTGTACAAAGTTTGTTAACACAAGTCCTTACTCATATGGTAGATCAAATACAGTCAAAAGAAGGAAAACTAACATTGCAGAGATAAGAGCTTCTTTCAGTGCACAATCAGATCTACTGATTGCCTTAACTGAACTCCCTGATTATTTGATGTTATTGTTCACTATAGCATTATTTATTACAACCAGAAGCATTAATGGATTTGATGAAGTGTAATAGAATATGATCCTTTCTAGCAAACATGTTGTTGTTATGGGCCACATCATTTTTTTTTAAGTGTTTCTCTTTCAGATACCAAACCATTGTGATTTTTTTTTTAAGGGTAGGGTATACATCAGAGAGGTGCATTAAACCTGCATTATTTTTCTCTTGTGATCTTATAAACCACCCTAACAGGGTGGTATATGACAAAGGAAAGAAAGAAATGAACAGACAAGTAAAAGGTAATAATTAGGTTATTGGAGAAGCACCATGAAAGCCCAGGTTGAGTCCATAATCAGCCATGGAAACTCACCAGGTGATTTAGTGGCTGCCTGTATATCTCTGCTGGAAGAATAGAAAATACCACAGTTGGGTCTCTTGGAGGTACCCTTTGACATATCTTTATTATTATGCTATTATGAGAAAAACATCTTTTTAGGGTTTTTTCCCTTGAGTTGCAACGATATAGGATGGGCATCGGATCAATGAGAAAACTCTCCTCATAGGCAGAAAGTCACAGAGATGACCTCGGAGAAACTATGCAGCAACAGTTACAAAAACATGTTTTAACCCAGGAAACAAGGAAAGCATGAGAAAGAAACTCAAAATACCCTAACTCCCTGAGATATAAGAGGGAGGGAAGAGAAACACCCAGACTTTCAATAATCTGGTAGTGTAGCCTATATCAATCAAGCAGAGTTCCAGGCAAACTTGTGGAATCTGTTTCCTGAACTGGACTGCTTCAAAGGGCTCACATCTTTTTGCCCTGTCTGATAGAAGACCTGAGCGGGAGAGATATTCTGAAAAGTTGCAAGATGGTGTGAATATCTGTAACAGGAGCAAGGAGGTTTAGCAGGAATGTTGATGCCATGATTAGTAAGGGTGTGCAATTAACCCATGAGTCCTGCTTCCTTAAAGATCAAAGTAAAGATCTTGATACCAGATCAGTCTGTTACCAGAACAAGAGACAGCTGGAAACTACCCTTTGTGGCTCACAGAGATTGGCAGTGGTTTCTAGCCTCCGACAGATGGGAGAAAGACATGCGAGGGTTTGAACATGATTTCACCATAAATAGGTTCTGCATTTAATACCCAGCGGTCACTGGACTCCTTTTCTAATAGAGTCTTTTTCTGCACTAAATCTACTTATCAGTAGTTGCTGTTTATCTGTTTCCAGTTCAACTTGCCTGGAAAAGCCTCACATCACCCTGAGTCCCATGGGAACCCTCTATTCAATCTGATGAGCTAAATCGATCGGTGTAATTATCAAAGAATTTGATTTGAAAAAAAGGGCGCGTGCACAACTGCACCAAACAGATAAACCAGCTTGAAGGCACCCAATTCAGTTTAATGCAGCACATTCGTTTAGTGAAGGAGGGATTCAGCTGAATTATTTTGAGACCCAAGCTTATCTTGTCCTTCCGCAACACGATCAGTGTTTGCATGCACACATATATAATAAACACTATGTTTCACTCTGTGTGTAGTTCATTTCTGTTTTTTCCTCCCTTTGCTCCTTCCTTATATATTTTCTTTTCTTGCTCTTTTTTCCTCTCTCCTTTTCCCTTCACTTTTGCTATCTTTATAATAAATTATGCACGTTTTGTCATTTGTCTCCTCCTTGCTCCCCCACATGCCCATGGCCACCCAACTGTATAGGTTTCAATAATCTTTTCCTGACCTCTTTCCCCCCAGACTCAAAATGACAATCAGCGGGGAGACTTCATATCTGCTCGGAAAAATTCCAGGCTGGCACTCATTTTGGATCACACGGCGCTCGGGGTGGGACTTTCAACCATCATTCTGGTTATTATTTTGGCTATTGTTTTATCCACTGCAGCTGCTGCTGCTGCTGTCTCAACATCAACGACTAATCAGTTCGGCTCTGTACAATTCAAACCCTAGAAGACACCGTAATATCCTAAACAACTTCCCTTCTCGGTACACAGAAGAGAAGTCAGAAATCAACGCTATCCAAACTGCAGTCATATTTTTTGAATTAAGATCAATCTTGTAAATCTCGTGGTACAGAATCCAACCATAGGCGTGTCCTTCAGACCTCCCATGTTGTAAACTAGTTCACACATGCTTGGTGGACCAGCAACAGGAGCTACCCCATATTCCATTGGAGACAACATTGGGCGGTCTGAAAATTCTACTTAATGGTAGCTCAAATGACGAATGCCATAGGTGATCCCGAATTCTGATCCATATCAACCCCAGGCTGAAAAAAGAGCTTGGGGAAAGTTAAATTGATCAGTTTCAAGGTCACATGTGAAGCATTGGCCCATTTGATGGTGAACACTGCTTATATTAAAATATATGTAATCAGTTCTAAATCTCATTAATATTAAATGGACACAATGTACCAGATATGAGGGCTGAAGTCTCAAAGCATGATTTGTTGGAAACCTACAATAGGGATATTCCTCATATTTTCATGGAGCAATCTTCCATAAGACATTATCATTAGATATAAGACCTAATGTCGTAAATCAGAAGCGAACAACCTGGTACCTCAAGGCTTCACGTTGCCTTCCAAACCCTGACAAATTTGACCTCAAATTGTAAAATTCAATGTGATCATAGGAATACCCCTATCTCACCTATCTTGATTTCATTGTCACATTGCTCTTACGTTTAGAAATTATGTATTCTTCAACCAGAATCTGCATTCCTGTGACTTAACAGCATTAGTCTATGTATTGCATTGATTCAATAAAAAATAGGACTTTATTCAATGTATGAAGTGTAATCCTATGAATATTTTTTGTTTAATATTATGTAAGTTTAATCAAATATACAGGTAGTCCCCAGTTTAAGAACGAGTTCCATTCCCAAGATCTGTCCTTAAGTCAAATTTGTATGTAAGCCGGAACAGTATTACTGTATAAGTAGTACTGTGTAATCAACTAGAACCATTGTGTATTTAGCTCGAATCATTATGTATTTAACTCAAATTTGCTACAATTGGCTCCATTCTTAACTGTGGGTTGTCTGTAACCGAGGTGTTTTTAACCGAAGGACTACCTGTAAATGAAAGTAATGTAATTTGTGTTCTGGCTTTTATTTTTCTGAAGTATGGCTCCATGGGGGTGTCAAAAAAAGTCAATATGGTGGCCAGGCTTGCAGGATTGAAGCCCCATCAGTTTTGCTGTGTGTCACATGAGCAACATATGTTAAAAAGGAGCAGTTTCAATTATATGGGCATGGTTGCCATCTTGACTTTCTTATCCCCCAATGCAGATGTCCCTGTTCTCAGCACACTACTAAAAGTCCACCACGTGTAGCTCTTGACCCCCCCAAAATTATGTATCCTTGGCATAAGTGAACAGAGTGTTTTCACTTAATCATTTAGTTCTCTGTGGCTGTTGACCACTCAGATCAAATCTTAAACCAACAATATGTCTACCACTGCCTAAAAGGAGGTATCTTTCCACATTGGAGATATCTGGGCAGGAGGGGAGGCAGGGCCTACACAGCATGTCTCCATGGCCACAGGTGTATTTTGCTGTGCCCACTATATTAGGTTCCTCTTATTTTTCGTTATCAGTTCAATGGCTTCACCAAGACCCATGGGTTTAACTGGAACCTTGGAAGATATATATGCTCTTTCTCAGGCCCTACCTTCTCATTTAGGCTGCCCTGTTTGCTCTGCCTTTTCACAACAACGCAGCCAGAGGGCTGGTCCATCATTCCATGACCAATGGGGCTTAGAGATATCCACAAGATGTGGTCAAAAATATCAAGATGGTGCATCACACAATAGTTTTTTATGATGCACATAAAAAACAGGCAGAGCTTTAATCCCACCATCGTGGTCACTATCATTACTTTTCTTTTTTTTAACTACACTTTGCAGACACCACTGATGGAGCTACTAAGCTAGTTATGGCCAGCATGCCCATCATCTAACCTTTCAAGATTTATGGGATTTTTATTTTTATTTTTTTGTGATGGGACCAGTTCAGATAGGGTCGATGAATTGTATAAATGAGTATGTTCGTCTGAATGTGGTTTCTGAGATTGTATATCACTTGTAACTGTTTTTAAAAAAGCAAGCAACAATAAAAAGTCAGTTCTGACTCAGTACTGAGATGAAACAATATTTCTTCATTGCATGAGGGGTCTGGTTTATCCTCTTTAAAGTTCAGAGGTAGCCAAGAATATTCCTTTTAAATATATAGATATTCAGGACATTCCAAGAAGTGCAGTCAAGGGAAAGCTGCAGAAAGAAATATGCACTTCAGAGAGCAATGTGAGTTTATAAATGTTTTTCAAAGAAAGGGGGAAATACTGTAGACAATTGTCTATCTTAATTACAACACCCAGAATTCCCAGCCAGCAAGGCCAGTTTTAGAAAATACCAGTTAGGGATGTGTGGGCTTAGGGGTAACACTAAATTGAGAAAGTGGCCTTGAGTCTTCTCTAGTGCAATGTTTCTCAAAACTGGCAACTTTATGATATGTGGACTTCAACTCCCAAAATTCCCCAGCCAGCCATGGAAATAAATGGAAATCAGAAATGTCAATATGAAAGATGGCACAGAACAATGTATTTGTTATAGTGAGCTAAAACAGGAACATATAATGGACGAGCATGGGCAGAACGAGAGATTACTTTAACTGCATGGCTCATGTCTGATTTGCTTAATTTGTTTATGGATGGCTCATATTTCTTTGTTTGTCTGATACCAGTTCAATTTTCATTGGGCCATGCACTACTGGTGTCACTCTTCCTTCACCAGTTCAAAATATCTAGATGTGTCCACACGCACACACATACATACCCTGCAGAAAATGTTGGAGCATTAAAACAATTACAAACCATGGCAACATTTTCTTGATGGGAAGTAGTATAAAAATGTTCTAAAATCAATATCTTGCCAATAGGAGCTATTTTTCCCTGGGATAGTCAAGCAGATGCCCTCTACACGGAGTTATGCTTCCCGTGGCCAGGAAATTCCTTGACCAGGCTGCCTGAGGCTTATGGGAGTTAGGATCCAAACAGTCTAGGGAACCATCCCTACTCCTGCTTGTTCTGATATTAACTGCAGTGGAGGACGAATGATTTTCATAGGAAATAGCTGGGGAGGGAAGAGTTAAAGCACTCCTCACCGAACACCACAATCCTTAATTGAAATGGTGACTCGGTATTTAAGAAAAAAATAAAATAAAAACTGACATGGCTCGCAACCCCCTAATTATTGTAATGCCTACTTTGGCTTGAAGTACACATTTTGTGATGTGCAAAGCATTTTGACTCCTTTCAACACATCTTTTTTTCTTTTCTTTTCTTTTTTTTTCTTTTTGGTGCTGGCTGGCCTGAATTTCTATCTGAAGGGAAGAATTGCACGATGGGAGCAGGTCTGCCTTTGAAGGCAAATCTAGAGGACATGAGTTTCCAAGGAGATATTGATCTATAAGGCAGCAGAGGCCTCACAGAGCAAACAAAGGGTGGAGAATTTTTGTACTGCTCCATAAGGGTGGAAAATCTGCGCAGACAAGTACTCCGCCTTTACTGAAATGCTGTTGCTCCATCGTTTTCATTGAACGGAAGCCTCTGAGAACTTTCTGTTCAGGAAAGTTCCTCTGCAAATATTACCAACCGTTTCAGCCTCATTTTCTTTTCCTTTGCTCCTCCCTTAAGCGTTGACGTCTTAAGTGACCCAGGAAGCGTGCCTTTTCTTTGGCAGCCCCTGCTCTATGGAGCCCCCATTACCCTGAAGTTCAGCAGGCCCCCACCCTCATAACCTTCTGAAAAGCCCCCAAGACCTGGCTTGTCCCCCAAGCGCTGGGATAGGGTGCGATTGGTGAGATGAACTTGTTGTGAGCTGCGTGGGAAAGTTTAGTTATGGTGCCAGATCTTTTGGTTTTAATATTTTAGGTTTTAATATTTTTGTTCTAAATAGATGTTGTTTTATTGTTTGGTTGTGAGCCACTCAGCATTTGGTACAAGAGGGGAGGCTATATAAATGTTTTAAATAAACAAACAAATAAATAAATAATAAAGATCACACCACTGAAATCTGA